AATTTCTCCGAACTTTTTTTTTCTTTTGAATTTTCCATGAAAGTTTTCTGGAAAGAGATGATCGACAAGGCTTGAGCACATGAAAATAAAACATAAAAAATATGATGGCTTATCATAATAAAAAATATGATGGCTTATCATAATAAAAATATTTTATTCCTAAGTGTTAACATCTTGAAAACATGTGGTTCCAAGTACGTAAAGGCATACAAAAGGTGTGGCTAATCTTATGCCTAATGCAATTATAAAGTTTAAGCTACATACTAATAGGGATTGTACGCTCAACCATATTTTGGGTATAAAGCCAAAAAAAGAAAAAAAAAATGTCGGTAATGCATTTTCCATATTTCTTCTGGACATAGCAAAAAAATAATAATGTATTTCCCAAGTTGCATAAATACTACCCAAACAGTGACAATCCATTTGCAAGTAATATATTAAACAATAATGTATTACGCCAATAATATATTTCACAAACAATATATTTCCAGGTATCCAAACAGCCCCTAATAGTATCCCAACTTAAGAAACCCGCCTTCCTACCCCTCAAATTTTATATTTTATGTACGTACCTCCCTCTCTTTCTTAACTTCCAAATTAAACACTTCAGATCTTCAATATTTGAATTGATAAAGCTATTTTATGACTTTAGAACTTAAAAATCTGAAATTAAAGCCCCCATATATATAGTCAAAATATAACTTAGGATCTTCAAGGGCTGAGATCTTATTTGATTTCGGATCTGAATCTGAAGTCATATTTAGTTTAGGGCGAGCTTATATGCTTTCCCTATAATATAAAACTTATATACTTCCCCGTATCCAACCATCCATTCTGAATGGGGGGCTAAGAATCACAATGTCACATCTCTACACTATTTTATTTTTAATATTTTTTCTACAAATTTAACACCAAAATTTGTATGTCCAATCCTCTATTAAACTCACACTAGTGAAAAATATAAAACAAATATTTTCAATAATATAAAATGATCAAAATACCCATGAAAGATTCAATGGGTATTTTTGTCATTATATTTTATTAAAACATTATTTTAAACATTTTTTATAGGTGCGCCCCAATGAGAAGATGGCACGTACCAAATTTCATATTCATACAATTTGTATTAAAAAAAACTAAAAACAAAATGCTTTGAGACGTCAGATCTAAGATCAAACAGTAAGTGGCTCTCTTGATCAAAATTGAACGGTTGGATGGTAGGGGAAGCATAAATCTTCTATGCTGTAGGGGAAGTATAGAAACCTTTCTTTTTAGTTTATATATAGGGACTGAACTTCAAATATTCAAAATCTCAAGTCAAATGTAGCTTAGGATCTTAAAGATCTAAATATTCTAAAAATAAAAAAATTTTAAGTTACATTTAACTTTGTATAATCGCCCTTTACTCCAAAACTTGATGATCTCAAGTTCACTGTCATTGGGATGTTGAAGACATGTGATGCCATTTTTAGAATATAAAAAATAAACAATAAGAGAAAAAAGGGTACATGAGTAAAATTAAAAAACCAAAGGGGGTTCTTTAGGGCATGTTTGTTTTTCTGAAAGTTTTAGAAAGTATTATTTCAGATTTTGAAAAAGTTTCACGTTTGTTTTCACACTTTTCATGAAAAGTTCAAAAACTAATCTATCAACAAAAGTTCTCATTTATTTATTAAACAGTGAATGATTAAGTTCCTAGGAGGGGGGAGGTGGGAGGGGGTAGGGGAGTAGGAACTTAATCTTTCATAAATTTTTTGTTGATCACTATTCACTATGCATAATATACATACATAATATTAGTATTATTAATGGAGTAATAATCCTATGAGACCTCCCACACCTATGTGTGTAGGACCCCAAATGATCATCATTAATTTAGCATAAATCTCGAGAAAAGTTATCACATGGGTATTAGACTTGATTTTTTTAAAGATCTGTACCAAATTTAATAGTGATCCTTTGGGATCCTACACACATGGATGTGGGAGGGTCTCATAGGATCATTACTCTTATTAATATGATATAATATAAATTTACTATAATATAATATTATAACTTATAGTATCACATTATATATTTATATTTATTTTATAAATATAGTTTATATAATATATATTGATCATACATTACATGTAATATATATAATACCTTTTTGTTTCAAGAGAGAAAGAGAGGAGGGGAGTGCAACTCAAGGCGTCAAGTAGAATTCAAAGACGAGACCTTAACGCCCATGAATCACACGCCACCATGACATAATATATTACTATATATTTATATTATATAATATATTATATATAATATTTATATTATATATTATATATAATATAATAAATATAAATATTATATACATAATATATATATATAAATATTCTTTTTTTTTTTTGGTAAGTCAATGGGGGAGAATGCCCTCCCCTACCTAAATTTTTGATTAATAGGAACAAAAATAATACATTATTATACAACCCCCTAATATAGGGCAGTTGCGCCAAATCATGTAATAATAGAAGAGAAAGAAAGTCTGGCAGATGGTGCTAAATTATTACACCTGCAGAAGCCGATGCTTTCTTAGCTAGAGCATCAGCTACCATATTCGCCTAGCGAAAAACATGAGCAATTGTCCACATATGGGCCAAGAGCCTTGAACGCGACTTGTTGCCTATAGTTCATAATTTCCATAGGGCACTACAACGATCCTGAATAGCATCTACTAGCAAAGATGAATCACTTTCTATCTATATTAGGAAGCAGCCCATCTGGATAACTAAGATAATACATTCCTCAAGAGCCTAAAGTTCTGCATAATTATTAAATCCCAACTCCAAAGTTTTTAGCGAATGCAGCCACAAAACCACCATTGCTATCTCTTATGACCCCACCCCTTCCCGTTAAACTAGAATTGTACAAGATCAAACCATCATTGCTATCTCTTATGACCCCACCCCTTCCCGTTAAACTAGAATTGTACAAGATCACACCATCACTATTCAACTTATAACACTGAACCTCAAGAAATGACCATGTAATTGGGACTGTGGATTTTGGCTTTTGCTGACACCAATTGATTTGTAAGTTTTCAATAACCGCATTTTCTGACAAATGAAATGCCCATTTTTTAACTTCTACTATCGCCTTGACGTGTGTAGTAATACGAATGACAACCTGCTCCCTTCTTAGAGCGCTAGATCTAAAGAGTCGTATGTTTCGCTCCTCCCACAAATACCAGGTTGTTGTGAAAAAATTAGTCGTCCAGGCGTCAAGTAACCCCTGCGATTTGAATTTGAAGACTAATCACCGACGAAAAATATCCAGTACCGTAGTACTAGGTACAAATCTCTTGCCACACTGCCAAGCTAAACATTGCTAAACAGTGATGGAAAAGGAATAGTGAAACAAGAGGTGACATAGATTGTCTTTGTTGTTTCTACAAAAAGGGTAAATAGTAGATACATCACTGTTAAAGTATAGATGAATTCGGCAACCGATTATACATAGCTAACAAAGAAAATCACTTAGCCCAATGTTGACATTTTGAAGGCTAAAGAGCACGAAATAAGGGATGAGATGATCTTTTATATCGAATGAAGTTCCATGCTAATTTAATTGAGAAAGTTCCATTGGCAGAATGCGTCCATAACAATGAATCATCCGTAGATTGTAAGGGAAGAGTATATCGCTCTACATCACCCCATATCGTATTAAGTAAAGTTGAAGGATGTGAAGGCAATGTCCATGATGGCGGGTTACCATCAATAAACTCTGAAGCCTTCCGCTCTTCAAGTTCCCTCAAATCCATCAGTCCATTTGCATCTAAATAGTCACGGATTGACTGCACTGATAGTCAAGGCTCTATCAAAAAATTCACCGTCTGCTTATTCTCAATACACCATTGGACATTATCCTTTAGCTGTGATAAACCGATATGAATACCTTTCCAATCATAAGAAGAACCCCTCTTGGCTATAGAGTCCCAAATGAAACACAATCTGAAATACTTGTGTTTGAAGAACCAAGCGAAGATGGATTTGCTAAAATCCTTCATGTCAGCTTCATCATACTTGCAATATTGAAGTCTGTCATTTCTCTCACCCCTAGGCCTCCCTCATCTTGAAGGAGGTCCTCCACTTAACATTATGAGCCCCTTATTTTTCTACCAGCCCATAGATATCTTATATTATACTATATATTATACATAATATATAAATATCTTATATTAGATTATAATAAATATTATATTGCATGTTATATATGATACAAATATATATTAATAAAATATATAATATTATATATTATATTATGTTATGTATTTATAATTATAGTTATATGATTAGTATGTATATGTTATCAAATACAGTACCGAGAACTTTATTAACATTCCAGCAAGTTATCAAAGACACTACCCACAACTTATTTAAACCTCCCCGAACTTATATTTAGCCCTATCGTAAAAAAAAAGATTTTAAAAATCTCATTGATCAAACAACTTAATATCAATATCATATTGATGAATTATTTACCGAAAGACTGCCTTTTAGATCTAATTTCTCGAAATTTACCGAGCAAAAGCACCTGGTTTCCTCAAAAAAATACAAGAGAAAACATTTTCCTAATATTCGGCAAATGTCTTTCCTGGGGTGCACATAGGGTTCGCAAACATGCCCATTTAGAGTTAGAAGTTAGAACAATAGAACTCAGTCATCTGGGGTCTGTTCAGCTCAGTCACAGATCTCCTTTACTGGAAAAGAGGGGGAGTTCGCATTTTGGATTGGAGAGCGACACGACGGCGGACGAACTTTCATTAATCAAGGGTATGGGGGTTTGGTTTTTGATCTCCAGCTCTTTGTGCCTCAAATGAGTCCAGAATTGAGATAGCTGCAACTTTGAAAGAATTATCTGAAAAACAATTGCAGGGAGGAGCGTAGAGGTTCATATAAAAGGCTACAAAGTTCCCAAATTTTGATATTTGAATGAGCTACATTACAGAGAGATAGAGGTCGAAGAAGATGGACATTCTGTTCGCCCAGATCCAGTCGGATCTGAGGTCGAACGATGCCCTCCGGCAGGCAGGGGCGCTGCTGCAGGCCCTCCAGCAATCAGCGGCAGGGCGCGATGTGTCACCCCTCTCAAAGTGCGCGTGCGATGAAATCCTGGCCTCTCCTGCGTCTGCTGTCTGCAAGAAGCTGGCACTCGACCTCATCCGCTCCACTCGCCTCCCTCCAGATCACTGGGACACCGCGTGCCGTGGCCTTCTTTCAGACTTCTCGTTCCCTGACCCAGAGGTCACTGCCGCTGCCCTTCCCCTCCTCTGTTCGGTGCCGTCATGGCGCCTCCCGCGCCTCCTTTCGGACTGTGCCAACCACATCATGGCGTCCTTGGACTCCCCTTCCCCATCCCTTCGCATGGCTGCCACTGAGACTTTGGGCTGCCTCCTTGCTCGTGATGACCTCGTCGCCCTCTGCGCCAGCAACCCGAGCCTCCGTTCCAAGGCTGACTCGTGGTGGGACCAGATCACGCGCAACGCCCTCAGCGCCTCTGACCCTGTCTCCAAGGTTGCCTTCGAATCCTTGTCCCGCCTTTTTCGCGAGTTTGGGTCCAAGCGCATGAGTCGCCTGGCTGGGGACAAGCTCGTTGACACTGAGGACTCCATGGCCATACGCTCTGCCTGGGTCGCCTCTGCTGTTGAGCTCCTCTGGAAGAAGCGCACTTTCTACATGGCACGCTCCCTCCTGCTTCCCACTGAGGGGTTCAAGGCATGTGTATTCCCCCTCGTTTACGCTGCCAAGACCATGGCTTCTGGTGCCATCGACACATTGAAGAAGCTGTCCTCGGTTAAGGGTCCTCCTGCCCCAACAGGGGATCTCGGGGCGGAGAAGGTTGTTGGGGTGTCAGATGTAGTGTCTCATTTTGTGCCCTTCTTGGGGGGGTCGTTGGATCCCGCACTCGTGTTTGAGGTTGGCATCAATTTGCTGTCACTGGCGGATGTTCCTGGGGGTAAGCCTGAGTGGGCGTCTGCTTCCATCACCGCAATACTCACACTGTGGGATAGACAGGAGTTCTCCTCTGCCAGGGAGAGCATTGTGCGCGCTGTGGTTACCAATCTACACCTGCTTGATCTCCATATGCAGGTACTGTTTTTGATTTAATGTTTCGTCAAATTTATTTGTTCTCCTCTTCTCTGTTTAAATTGTGGACCACCATTTGACCAGGCCTGTATATTGATTTCCATTCCCAAATTTAAGAAGATCACATGTACCAAAATGTAGTAACCTTATGTAACCCAAAGAAAACAAAACTAGATCATCAGATTGATTGAACGTGTGCAATCAAGGAGAATGGATATTATTTGTTGTTATTGTTATTATTGTTGTTGTTGCTGCTATTATTGTTATTATTTTACTATTAGGGAAGTACAATTCAAAGCTTATGACATATCATTTTCTAGTCAAAGACTGTGTATGTGAAGAACCTAATGCATGAGCAAAATAATTTCATCTATCTTAGCAAAATTCACGGAGTTGCAACGGAGAAAACTCTGTTGGGGCACCTTATAGGGTTTCATTATAGTCACATTGGAGGGCACTTATTCCTCTTCAAATGTAAGTGACCTTTAGGGGTGACTTTCAAATATTCCTGAAAGTATTGTACTTTTTAAATACTTGGGTAAGACAGAGACACGACTAGATTAAGACCTGCAATTTGCTAGTCTTCTCAGAAAATAGACTATTCACAAAATGTGTGTTAAGCGTTGTTTGTTTTTAGATATTTTCAGCATACAATCTTAAAGACATGGGCTGTGCTTGAGCCAAGTTGTCTTGGGTGCATAACAAGTCCTACTCCCAAGTTCATCAACATCATTTCTGAGTGTATATTTTGGAAGGGCATTCCTATAATTAGGGATATTGATGGGAGAGTTGGGGCTGATTTGATTTAAATCTGAGAATATGTTATTCAGACATTCCATGCTTCAAGGACTTGGTTATTGAGTGTTAGAATTTCAAGTGGTATGGTCTAAGAATAGTGATGACCTATAAACTTTCTCTTAACTCGTCCCATGTCCATGTAAAAGAGCTGGGTTGTGTTAGGTAGGCAGCCAACGTAAAATTTTGCCAAAAGAATCCTGAAGTGGATCAGGATTCGTGTAGCTGACCCCAATTAATTTAGAAAAGGGTATGATGATGATAATGAGAATTTCTAGTGGTAATCTGTTGGGTAGGTTTTAGATTTGCAAGAAACTCTTATTACTGTAAGAATGTTTGTTAATATCAGAAAGATATTGTACATGGTGTTTGCCCAAAAAAATAAAATGTATAGGGGTGTTTTTTAGAGTTGGGAGAGTGGAAGCCCAAGATCTTGGAAGACATCCTGAAATTATGTGGTAGAATTTGAAGCCTCAGATGAAGAAGAGAGAGAACTGTCAAATTGTATGTAGTGGAATCTGAAGCCTCAAAAGAGAGATAATTGGCAAATTATATTTGACGGAATTTGAAGCCTTATGAGAGGATGAGAGATAGGTCAAAGAGGCTTTTGGATTAAGCTAAATTAAAAGATGTACGTTGCAGTGTTTTAAAATGCGAGATGCGGCCCTGATGCAGTGGGGGGCCGATGCGGCTCAATGCGGCCCGTATGCGGGTGCATCACGATGATGCGGTCAATAAATGTAAAAAAATTCTAAATTTTTTTAAAAAATAAGTTAATGCGTAGAAAAAAAATATGAAGGTGATATATGTGATAGTAGGTATTTTAGTTTAATGAGTAACTTCAAAACTATTAGCTGTCGGAGATTCTGTATCCAGTTATCCACCCATATAAGTATTTCCACAGAGCAAGCATATCACACAATTTCTATCTTTGGGATTTTTTAGTTTAACATAATTCCAAGTCGGATCCTTATTACTAGAAGATTGAGAAGAAGACATTGCCCCAAAAATATGTATAATAGTAATATTGTACAAGAAGGACAAAAAATTTACCGACTCTGTGAAGTACTGCTCGATTTCTTTACAACCTCTGAAACCCCCGATTTCTTATTACAAGTTCACCCTAACATCTCCAAATCAACAATCAAAGGCATCCAATGAATATTCAAGTATCAAACAACCCCCAAATCGAAGATTTCGATGAAAAAAAAATTCCGCCTAAATTTTTGTTACCTAGATTTTATGCAAAAAAAGCTACAAAAGTGGCTGAAAATCTCCGTTTAGGGCCCCTAATATCCCCTCAAACAGTTTCCTAACATTTGGATGGTCAAAAAGACCATTTTGCCCCTCCTTGAGGGGCAAAACAGAAAAAAAATTTGGCGGACACTGTAGTAGTGGGATGCGGCTACGATGCAGCCTGATGCGGCGCATATGCGGCCGCATCTGTCAAAAGCGCATATGCGCTTGTTTCTGATGCGGATGCGAGCGCATCCGGCATGATGCGGGCGCATATGCGGCGATGTGGCCTCATTTTAAAACGCTGGTACGTTGTTTGTTGAGGTGGTTTAGGGTCATACTGATGCATGCAAAAGGACAAGAACACACTCTAGTAAAATGGCGAGCGTGGGTAATGTATTAAAAGGAACTTGCATTAGATGCCTAGATGGTGCCTTGAGGCACCAAAGGGCCCTGGCCCCCTGTTGGGGTCCAGGAAGGTCACTCTGGTTGGGGCCTTCAAAGCAGGCCCCTAGGCGGTTTGGCACTTCCTAGCGCCTTGGTGAAGGTCCAAGTTGCATGCTTTGTACTCGAACATGCATGTACTGTGTTTTTTGTGCGTGCACACGAGAGAGAGAGAGAGAGAGAGAGAGAGAGAGAGAGAGAGAGAGAGAGAGTATATATATAGTTGTTGTTGTGTTGTGTGTGTGAGAGAGAGTATAGTTGTAGTAGTGTAGTTGTGTTGTTAGTTGTTTGTTAGTTACTTCGTTTCGTTTCTTT